TATACCAACGGCTTCCCATACTTAATACTTCTCGTTTTTACTCTCGCGTGTGGTCACGTGACGTCACGAGCTGCGATGCGATTTTCTTCCGCGTCTCGTATACAATGAGTTTGCTTTGAAATTTTTCATGCAACAAAAACAGAGTATCATTATTGTTTTGTCCGTGTATTGTTTGATAATGGCTTATGTAAGGCAAAAGCTTAGAGAGGATTAATACTTGTATCAATATAGTGAGTTCCTTTCGTCTTTCAATGATAATGTTATTAAGCTTATCAGACAATATGAAAGGAACTTACTTGAAATAAATAGACAAAACTTGTCTATATTATTTAATAATATATATATATATATATATATATATATATATATATATATATATATATATATATATATATTCCGTTTCCATGTATTCCAGCAAACTTTGATCTTTAAAAATTTAAATGCAGTGTCAACCGTTATCTACTGTCTGCTCGATTCCTCTTCTTGCATTGTTCTCCTCCCTTAATAATAATGTTTTTCCCTTTTCTTATTTTTTCACTCAGTAACACGTGTTAGTGGCTTTACTGCTTATATATATATATATATATATATATATATATGAGAGAGAGAGAGAGAGGAATATGTATATTCGCTAATATGAATATATGTGGCGACAATTGATGAAGACCATCACTTTAAAACAGCCTTTGTTATTTCTTTTTTTAAATGCACAAGTCTCATAAAAATAAAATAAATTGTCCTCTCTACCAACTTGTTTATCTTAATAGCAGGGGTCCTTTACGATTTAATTGAAATTCCAAATGGTTTGTGCGCGAGTTTACACACGTTGTGAATGTATATACCAACACCCGTCAAACAGGGTCTCTCCAGTAAAACGGCCAGCAAAATACACACAATAAATATCACGCATATTATCAACACAAAGAGAATAAAAAGAAAAGTGAAAACGAGGCGAGGTCTCATTACGCCATATTTTTTTTTCTTTTACATTCACAACCTGGCGAGTAATATCTAAAGTTTCACCGTGTGTGGTCATTTATCGTAATAAAGGAGGAGGCGAATTTAGAAAGAGAACAAAAGTAACTATTAAGCAAAATAGACAAAGAAAACCAAAAAGAAAGGACTTGCTAGAAGATTTGTATGGACAGTGGTGAGTAAAAGGTGCAGCCCTAGCGCTACATTACACAAAGGGAACGTTAAAATTAAACAATGGTGGCAATTCAACCACATAGTATAACAGTGGACGGCGAAACGTATAACATCGAAATTCGAAGGCGCATGTCAAGAGCGAAAGATAATTTTTAAAACCTGTATTTTCCTCGGGCGCGGTCTGAATTTTCGCCTATCGTGTTGAACGGATGTTTTGTCAGCGATGCCCTATCCCTTGAACGCCTTTTGGGGTTTAAGCTTAAACTAAGCTACAAGTCCCGCTCCTTTAAGTAACTGACTTCTAATACCATTGCTATCACAACAGCCAGATCAGACCGAAAATGGAGTACTGCTCCCAAGTATTGACAGGAGTTTGGCATCTCAGCATGGTGTAATGGTTAGCAAGCTTGTTTCACTAAAACAGTTACTACTGAATAGTGTATTCATTCCTCACTGGATACCCCATACGTTCGGCCCTGTGCCACATCTAAGCTATGCTTAGAAAATATCTGGGTACCTCGGCGTGGTTAGCAAGCTTGTCTCGCTAGATCAGTTACGACTGAAAAGTGAGTTCGATCCTCACTAGGTGCTCCATATTTTCTGCCTTTTATCACATCTCAGCTACGCTAAATATAAATAACTATATCGGCAGGAGTTACTCAATCTTCATTTTCCAATCTCGGTAGAGTCCAAACGCGTCTCTCGTGGGTGATGAGTTGTTTCCCACCTTACAACCCCTTTCCCCACAAATGAAACGTAGCAAGGCTGATTGCTATTTCCATGGAAAGTGCTCGGGCGAACTACGTTTTTTCGTTCCACCAGTTCTAATCTTCACGACTAAGACCTGACATTCCACACATATTGTAGCAAAACACCTTCATTCGCTTCGTATCCCATTGGTGAGATGAAGATTCCACTCGTGTAGCTTTTTCGCACGGACTGTTGCTTTGTGGAACCGACTCCCAAGAGGAGCCCCCCCACCCCGATCACTACAATCTTAACCTGTTCAAGTCGAGGTTTAATAGTTATCTTCCCCACATATCGCCATAAAGTTTGCCCCTCACCGCTTACTCTGTAAACCTCTACCTTGAGTGGCTCTTGGACCTTATACAGAGTAAACATCATTGGTAAACATGTAACAAATGGATTGCAACATTCGAAACAGAAAAAAAAAGAATGTTGCTGACGCCAGCTCAGCTACATTGGTGTTTGTTCCATATGTTTTTTTTTTTCTAATTACAATTATGTTGATGAGACGTCGTTAGAGTTTCTGAGCGAAAGTGCATCATCTGTTGTGATCTGAACAGTGCCAATCCGTTCCAGCCCTCAGTCACGATGACTTGTGACTTCGTGCTAACAAACTCATTGACGAATAGTTCTGTCTGCCCACTTTCACTCAGAAAGTACGTTTTTCCCATCGTAGCACGCCGGGGTTACCTTCCCAAACCTATAACATCAAGAAGTAACCTTCTTGACAAAAAGTCTATTGGGAGAGTCAAACACGGGTATCGGAAAACGAACGTTCCAACCACGCAAAGCTGGAAGACTTTTAAAAAATATATTTACACTATTTACATCCTTCAGACTGTTGTTCTCCACTTTTACTTCATTGCCATATTCATGCGGTTTCGGCCGTTGTACTCTCCGACCTTCTTCAGGTGATATACGCTGTAATTTCGAAATGAACCCTTTATTTAGTCCAAGGTGATACATTGCTCTAATTCCATATGTCATGCCTATTTATTATTGACGACGTTTCGGCCGTTGTACGCTATGATTTTCTTCAGGTGATATACGATAGAGTTTCGACCGAACCCTTGTCCACAAGAGTATATTGTCATAATTCCAGTTTTAGTAACCCAACTCTCCTTGTTTTACTCACTCTGCTGTGCTTATATATATATATATATATATATATATATATACACACACATCCATGTGGATTAAATGTAAGGTCCGGTTCGAAATTCCAGCGTATATCACCTGAAGAAGGTTGAAGCGTACAACCGCCGAAACGTCGTGAATATGGCAATAAAGATATGGACAACATTCCGAACGATGTAAACAGTGTAAATAGTTACAATACCTCATTTCACAAATATATGCAGATATTTTTTTTAATTCGAAAAAGGAAGAGTTACTGCCATTTTGTTCAGCAGCAAAACTTTGGGAGAGATAGGGGAAAAAAAAGCAAGGAAGGTATGGATCCAAAGCATGTGGAAACAACTTCAGCCACTCCGCTGGGTAGAATTCTTCTTCCTCCTCCTCCTTAATGCCAAGAGACTCACTCACCCGTAGAGAGCAAGGTGTTGCTGATGTGGTTGCTGTAGTAAATTGGATTTTACAGGGTAGAGTTGCCATCTTGAAGCTCAACTGGTTTGGATTCAAAGCTATCTTTCGCGTAGACTGGTTTCCAACCAAGGCTGAAAAGCTCAAACCACCCTGGGGATTTCTGCATTATTCTGAAAACTTATACAATTTTCGAAGATTTTCTATTTTCCTTATTTTAAACACTGTCACCTATCCATTATCTATCTCTGCTCTATCGTCCACCATAAGGCGCTGACCCACAATTTGAGAATCCTTGATCTAAACCAGGGTCCATAGGCAAAGTATAACAAAAGGTGGGGGGGGGCACAATAATATTTCGTTGGTCCATGAAGAAAGCCAACTCAACGGTTTTTATTATTAAAATTTAAATTTTACTATAATTTACACTATATATATATATACGCACACACGTATATATATATATATATATATATATATATATATATATATATAATTCTTTTGTTTTTCTTTTATATAGGCACCCCACTGAACTTTGATACCTAAGGTTTAAAATGAATTGCTGCGTTATTGCTTTTCCAACATGTTATCTTGTGGAATCGGGATTTAGCCATGTTTCTCAACTGTTATCAAAAGTTCACAATAGACTTGACATTGTGGAAATAGGTGATCTTCAACTGTCATTAACATCGATGGAACCAGATATAAAGAAACTGGCTGAGCAGCATCAACCAAAGGAATCTCATTGAATAAATATACCTTTCTTTTTTTCTAATCACACACTTAATTTAAATTGGCTTATTAAAATTTTTAACCAGTGTGCATAATAAATGCTGCAGTGAATTCAATTGCCTGAAGAGTTTCTGGTTCCCATGGCTGACTACCATGAGAAACATTGTATTGTTAAATGGTCAATAAAAAATATTATAGAAAAATTTATTTGCATTAAATTAGGTTTTATTTAAAAATAAAGCTTAATTATATAATATTTCTTTTAGCTATTAAGGGGTCTACCAAGAAAAAAAAAACGGAAAAGGGGTCCATGTGTAAAAAAGGTTGGGAACCACTTATTTAAACGCTATCTCTTGGGAAAATGGTATTCTCTACATTTGGCTGAAATGAAATAAAATCCATTGTATAACAACAAACCTCTTAAGGGTCGCTCCACTCAAAAGATTACCAGAACACAATCTGTTTAACCATGCGGTCCTGTTTCAGACTAATATTATCTTCGGAAATATCCATATAATCTATTTGACTTCGTCTGTGTACCGCAGTTGCTAAATCGCATTGTGAATTAACACCACCAATCCCATCGACAATTCGAGATCTGCTTATTTTTAGATCGCCAAGCACTGAGGAGTCTTACCTAAATTAAATCAGTTCATTCTGCCGTTTCAAAACGTTAGTATGGTCTCTCCCCCCCCCCACCTTTTAGTTGTAAAATTTGGTGTAAACACACCTGAGGAAAAAAGTCCTTAATCGACACTTGGTTTTAATTAAAACGAAAAAAAAATTATTTCGAAAGAAGATCAACAAAGTCGCTTCACTAAAAGCCGGATCTATAGAGAGAGAAAAAGAGGCGAAGAGAGAGGGAGAGAGAAAAAGAGGCGAAGAGAGAGGGAGAGAGAAAAAGAGGCGAAGAGAGAGGGAGAGAGAAAAAGAGGCGAAGAGAGAGGGAGAGAGAAAAAGAGGCGAAGAGAGAGGGAGAGAGAAAAAGAGGCGAAGAGAGAGGAGAGAGAAAGAGGGAGAGAGGGAGAGAAAAAGAGGCGAAGAGAGAGGGAGAGAGAAAAGAGGGAAGAGAGAGGGAGAGAAAAAAGGGGAAGAGAGAGGAGAGAGAAAAGAGGGGAAGAGAGAGGGAGAGAGAAAAGAGGCGAAGAGAGAGGGAGAGAGAAAGAGGCGAAGAGAGAGGAGAGAGAAAAGAGGGAAGAGAGAGGGAGAGAAAAAAAGGGGGAGAAGAGAAAAGAGGGGGAAGGAGAGAGAGAGAAAAAGAGGGGAAGAGAGAGGGAGAGAGAAAAGAGGGGAGAGAGAGGAGAGAGAAAAAGAGGGGAAGAGAGAGAGGAGAGAAAAGAGGGAAGAGAGAGGGAGAGAAAAAAGAGGCGAAGAGAGAGGGAGAGAAAAAGAGGCGAAGAGAGAGGGAGAGAGAAAAAGAGGCGAAGAGAGAGGGAGAGAGAAAAAGAGGCGAAGAGAGAGGGAGAGAGAAAAGAGGAGAAGAGAGGAGGAGAGAAAAAAGAGGGGAAGAGAGAGGGAGAGAGAAAAAGAGGCGAAGAGAGAGGAGAGAGAAAAGAGGCGAAGAGAGAGAAAAAGGGGAAGAGAGAGAAAAGAGGGAAGAGAGAGGGAGAGAGAAAAGAGAGAGGGGAGAGAGAAAAAGAGGCGAAGAGAGAGGGAGAGAGAAAAAGAGGCGAAGAGAAAATAGAGAGAGAGAGGGAGAGAGAAAATAGAGAGGGAGAGAGAAAATAGAGAGGGAGAGAGAAAATAGAGAGGGAGAGAGAAAATAGAGAGGAGCGAAAATAGAGAGGAGCGAAAATAGAGAGAAAGGAGCGAAAATAGAGAGAGAGGAGCGAAAAATAGAGAGAGAGAGAGGGAGGAGAGAGAAAATAGAGAGAGAGAAGAGAGACTATATATATAAGGGAGAAAAGAGAGAGGGGAGGACAGAAAATAGAGACTGTGAGAGAAGAGGAGAAAATAGAAAAAGAAGGGAGAAAAAGAGGGAAAAGAATATTTCTAACAAAGGCAAAGTGATTGCATGTAAAGGACATTAAGTTAATTAGTTCTCAATCGAAGATCAGCTTAAACCGAACCCTTCACAAAATTAATCTCAAATAACGATAATAATTGGAGAGGGTGAATAAAGAGAGGGGAAGCGACTAAGGAGGAAGAGAGAGAAGGAATATGTAAGTGAATATGAGAAAGTGGGTCATAGTAGAGAGTGACTGCGGACACAGAAGGAAAGAGTGAGAAAGAGGGAGAACCAGAAAAGACGAGAGGAAAGGTGATGATGACCACAGAATGAGAGAGAGAGAGAGACAGAGACATACAGACAGATAGAGAGCCGTGCCGGATTAATGATGGTCAACATGTACTAAAACACTTGCACTGCTGTATTGTTTTATAGCATTGTGGCCAGGCTGTGCTGGTCCGATTTGGAAGAAATAGCAAATGATCATATACTGGAAATAAATGGCTATAACGAAGTTAAAGATGATTTCTCAGGGCGCTGCCATTTTCGTTTCGATCGAAAAGGCTGAAGTATAGACTTGGGTTACTTTACTATATATAGGTCTACACGGTTACAAATCACTAAGAACGAGTTAGTTTAACAAAAAGGCTACGGACGGATATTTCACAGTATCTTTTAAACGTATATATACGTCCACAGCAGCAGAAGTCTTCAATAACTGCTTCGGCTTTTATATATATATATATATATATATATATATATATATATATTTTTCTGTCAGCTACGAAACAAATTGTTGATTTTTCAAAATATGGCAATCCCAGTGATTGGTAATCGATTTAATAATGGAAGAAAAATATATTGAAAATGAAGAAACAATTTTCTCAGCAATTTTAAACACCTTGGGATAGCCGATTTGAAAGTGTGGGCGCGTTCGGGTTACCAAAGTTCCAGCTTTGTGACAGAGTGCGTTAAGAATGAATCATAATAAAAATCGGATATGGTCAGTAGAGATAAAATTAAATGACGGTAGATAAGACAATTAGGTATTTCTGGACAAAGTTAAAAATATGGCACAAGGTCAGGTTTCCAGATAACTCGACAAAGATTAAACTTGCTAATCCACAATGGCTTGGGAAACAAACCGTCGCGTTAATTATTCTCTGATCGCCATCAATCCCACTGAGGATACATTGTTAAAAATCAAAATTATAAAAATAATGAACAAATAATAGAGATGTCCGTCAGAAAACTGCCCTTTTATTTTTGCTTATATATATATATATATATATATATATATATATATATATATATATATAATATATATATATATATATATATAACTTTTCCTGCTTCCTCAATGCATACGGACGTAAACTTCATTACACATCAACCTTTGTAAAGACAGACGACCACTTTCATCGTCTGCCGAAATAGCCACATGAGGTAAAAGATTATATATATATATATATATATATATATATAAAAGAAATATAATATAAACGTGTGGATATTTATGGAATAAAGTGCTTTCATAAAAGAGATAGACAAAAGTTATAGAAGTCGGTCATAGTTTGTTTTATTGTTATATGCAATCGTCAGGCCTGACGATTGTATCTAGCATAAAACAGACTGTCGCTCTGATGTTGACTTCCAAGCACTTTTTATATATATATATATATATATATATATATATATATATACACACACAGAGTCCACTCAAAAAGTATACACATTTTAAAAAGGAAAAACTTGTATAGATATTGTAATACTAAGTTTATTCAGACATAACAAGATTAATACAAGTTACATTTGGATTTTATAATCACAAGAGATGTTCGATGAGGGCCTCTAGCTTTTCAGACACGGTTAGTACGGGAGAACTTGACTTGGACAACGTTGGCCAAATGTCCAAAGGGATTGCTGCACACACATTTTAAAATCATCAAAGGGCAATAAAAAAAACAAAATTTATTTTAGGGCCCCCACCCCAGGTAAAAGTCTAAAAACTATCATAGACAAGTTCTTCCTTTCCTGAAGTGTGTATGCATTTTTGGGGTCGGATTCAGTTGTGCGTGTGTACACACACACACACACACACACACAGTATCTAATAAAGCATTTCCCGCCGTTTATAACGCTACGAACAAAGGTTTTTTTTATTATATCTTAGTACACAGTCCTACGCCCAAATAACCCAGCCTATATAGTCAATATATAAAACAGTTCATACACACGCAAGTGAGAGAAGCCGTGGATGTACACGGGTGTATGTGTTTTAATTAAAAGAAAGAATACTTCTATTACGTTATCTAATAATAGAACACAGATACTCCGGTTCCATATCGTGTGTGTGTGTGTGCGTGTGTATGCGCGCTTGTCGCATCTTAATTAAAAAAGAAAGTAAGCAAGAAGCAAACATTCAAGATATATTAATTACGTTATCTAACAAAAGGCAACAGAGAATCTAAGTTTGAAGATATTAGCCAAGATAATGAAAATCCAGCATAGTAACAACTAACATCTTAAATAGAATAAAATTAATTCTATGATTAGGAAAACACAAAATTAATGATTATAAATCAGTTATTATCTACAACTAAACAGGAGGTATTTGCAGGTAGTTTGGTTTGGCTTGTTTTACGGCATATCACCCTCAATGGGTTATTTGATGCCGTCAAGATCTTTTATTGCTGGTA